TAAGAAAGCCCAGGAGCCCCTGGCCTCGAATCCCTCGGTGGCCTCTAACGAAGGGTAAATGTCTTTTGGTTCCAAGCTTGCTGTCACCTCTGGGCCTTTGAACTTGCTTCGCCTTGGCCTGCACCTCTCTTTGCCAACATTCCCCACTGCCCACTCTCACCCAGGGTGTTCCTGCTTCTCCCTTAGACTTCCGCACAGGTGTTCCTCAGACAAGCCTCCCCTGACCACTGGCCGCAGGTCCAGGCCCAGCCCCCGGCGGGTGCCCTTGTCCGTCTGTATCTCACACAGCTGCTTACTGACGGTGCCTCCCCCTCGACTTTGCTCCATCAGGGCAGAGCCCTCGATTTTGTTGCTCGGCTTTTTATCTCTAGTATCTTGCACCGACTGGCACATAATACATGCATAGTAGTGTTTGTTGAAAGAAAGGAGGGTGGAGGGCGGGGATGATGGTGCCGGTGTGCTGTGTATTGTATCAGTTTTCCTGAAAAGTCACGTGCTACGCTTAGAAGTCCCCTCGTGAACCAAAGCCTGAGAAACTGTACTGATTTGCCAGCTGCCATACTGAACCCAAATATGAGTATTTTCAATAGATGAAATCAATGTGAAATTCATCCTGTATGTTTTCTAAGACCATTGATCCCACACCACAAAAACTAACGAACCAACTAGGGAGATGAAGAGACTGCAGGAGGAGATGAGGTTGAATCAGTCTATTATTATTCATTAATTCATTCAACTAAATGCTGTGATTTATCGGGCACTAAGGACACATAGGCAAACAAAACGAGCAAAGTCTCTGCGTTCATTGTCTGTTTTTATTCCTATGGGGGAGATATTAAGTTTTTATCCATTGCATCACTGACCTCCCTGCAATATTAAGTTTTAAAAAAGTGAACAGGGACTTCCCTGGTGGTGCAGTGGTTAATAAGAATCTGCCTGCCAGTGCAGGGGACAAGGTTTCGAGCCCTGGTCTGGGAATATCCCACATGCCGCGGAACAAATAAGCCCGTGTGCCACAAGTACTGAGCCTGCACTCTAGAGCCCGCGAGCCACAACTACTGAGCCCACGTGCTGCAACGACTGAAGCCCGCGCACCTAGAGCCCGTGCTCTGCAACAAGAGAAGACACCGCAGTGAGAAGCCCGCGCATCGCGATGAAGAGTAGCCCCTGCTCACCGCAACTAGAGAAAGCCCGCGTGCAGCAACGAAGACCCAACGCAGCCAAAAATAAATAGAAAAAAAAAATGAAAAAAAAGAAGTGAACACCTGAATGAGAACATCTTACTACAGTGCCAGTGCGTGTATCTCCCTGTTGAAATGAGATAGCCGTGACTGGAGGCGGAGAGGGTACCAGTAGATAGAGAGTGGTCGAGATGTCTCGGAGGAAGTGACATTGAGCTGAGACCTTGGAGGGTGGGCAGGAGTTCAGTGGGTGGGCCCAGGGATGTGTGCACGGCCGCATGTGTCCTAATCTGTTTCACCAACTGGAGGGGACTGCATAATCCTCCTGGGTAAGGAGCTGGCACGTTTCAGGAAAGAAACGTTAGGATGCTAAACCTTCTTGTGGTAGTTAGCCCAGCATAGGCAAGGGACTCAAGATAACCCACCAGTTGGGGGGCCACAGGAGCTCGTATAATCTTTCCAAGGACAGATGCGTCTCCGGGGGGCCAGTGCTGCCTCGTGACTGAACCTGTCCTGAGCCTCACTAAGCTGAAATTCATTGTTTCCTCCTGCGGCATCCTGCAGCTTGTTGGCTGGAGCTGTTTGTGGCAGTTACTACATTCTACCCTGCAATTATAGTTATTTGCATCCTCCGGTTGGCCTCCCTAGTGAATTTTCACCCCCTCGAGGGCGGGGACTGGATCTTACGCACTCCCTTCCCCCATAGACACACACTCTTGGCTTGTACCTAATAGATGCTCGGTGCATATTTGTTGGCATTTATTAAACAGAATAACTAAAATTTGTGGCTAATGCTTTGGAAACGTACCTATTTTAAAGAGAGTGTGATTTGGGGGATGGGAGTGATCATTTTGGAGCATGGAACTCTTGCAGGAGACACACCTGGGTGGTTCTAGTGGAGACCATTGAATGCCTCAAGGCTTTGCGGCGGGAGGGGGGGGTGCCAGGATAAGAAAAGAAAGCTGTGGGGAGCACAAAAAAGGGCTGGGGGCCAATGAGGACTAACTGGCTGTTTTGGTCTTGCTGGTGGTAAAAAGCCATTGAAAATCATCTTGCATTGCTTCGTCCAACAGTATGCCATGCTTGTCCATGTTTGCTCTGAGATTGTGCCACCTGATTGGCTAGCTGGTTGATTTGGGGTTTGATTGGGGTTTCATGTCTTCTTGTGTTCTCTTTGTCATTTCTTTTTTTGAGGGGGTTTATTTTCTATATATACAGAATGTATGGTCCAGAATAATCTAGATATACGCAGCTACAATTTTGTTTTTTTGTATTTTTGTGATAATTAGTATTTTTGAAGTTGAATCAGTGTTCAATCTGGAATTCATGTCAAATGGAAACTTAGTATCACGACTGAAAACGTAAAACCAGTATCACTTGCCACAGGAGGTAATTATAAGAGTAAATATGATCAAATAATCCACCTTAAGAAATTTTAAAGATCAAAAGTATGTAACTAAATCTAAGGTATTTGTACTGTCTTATTAAGTATTTCATAGATATCATCTCATGATTTCGCACAGGAGTAGCATAAACATTGTTGTTCTTGTTTTCACAGAGGAAAATTCTGAGATTTTGAGAAGTTAAGTGGCTCCCGGAGTTAGGAGGTGTTTTAATCTGAATTAGTGTTTAGTTTTGTTTGCAAATGAGACATTGCAGCTGAAAGGTAGAATAGAGGTGGGCCTGGAGATGATTAACTTTTAAAATGGATACTAAGGTGTTGTTTAGCTGTTTACTTTTGTAACTAAAAATAAAATCTAATGAAGCATGGGAAAACAAAGCAAAAAGCAGGAGTAGAAAAGAGCTCTGTACTGGGAGGGGTGAGGTAGAGCATCCACTGTTGTCAGGGGAGCCAGCTGACCCTTGGCCTGCTGGGCCACCACGTGGATGTCCTTGGCAGTGACATTGCCTCAGTTCAGGATGAGGAATGGTGGTCCAGGAAGAAAAGGGGGAAGGAACCAGGTGCTTTGCTTCCCTCTTGGCTGTTACTTATTAACTAAAACTCCAGTCCATTTTCTTTGTCCCCTTGGACTGGTAGCAAAGTCTGATGGCGGCCTGAGGGGATCGTTCTGTGGGGCCTTTTCAGGGTCAGAAAACTCACATGCAGGCAGCTTTGTTTACATCAGCAAATCCAGCTGCATAGTGCAAGCACTTGACCGGCCAGTGACTCCCAACACAAAACAGATGCCTGGGCTGCGCAGAGGGAGCATGCAGGGCTCCTCAGCTGCTAGGACTTTGTCTTGATGAATTGGGAAAAGGACAGGAGACAGCTGGCACTGGGTGTGCCAGGAGTTGACAATAGCAGCGACCGAATAGACCTGGCTTTGTGCTGGCTTGAGCCACGTGGGCTCCGGAAGGAGATGCTCAGCGGGGGCTGTGAAGGCCAAACCGCATTCCTGCCTGAGAAGGCCACATCGCTGTGTGTGCTGGACTGTGGAGGTTTGAACTCCCTGTGACCAGGATGTGGGAAGGGATGGGGTCCCCTAGGCCAGAGGAGGGGAAGTGGGATCAGGACCAGGATTCCATTCGGTGCTCAGTTCTTCAGTTCTAAAAGCTACTCTTCTACTTTTTTATCCACATAGCATTGTTCAGTGTCATCCTGCGGTAGATTGTGGTAGATAAATCTCTCCTAATGAATAAGTGCTTACCTGATTAGGTTAATCATTACGTTAAATGTTTTTCAGGCAGTGCTTACCAACTAGAAATATTAATAAATAATGAAAAACCAAATCCTCCTGAAAGAACCAGGCACACACACTAGATCCAGCGTACCCCAGGAGGCCCCCATGTCTTCTGCCCACTCATTTGAACAAAGGACCTTGCATTCAATATCACGTTCTACTCTGTCTACTGATACTCGTTTAGTAGATTTGCCAGTTTGAATACTCCAATACAATTCTCCCTTGAGGAAAAAGGTGAAATTGAGGCAATAACAATTATTTAAGATACTAAGAACTATGATTTTAAAACACAATACCTATATATATGCGTTGGAGAGAGAGGCTACAGATTACACACACAGACATACATACATACATACACAGAGACCCCAAAGTGTGACGATAGCCATTATCAGGTGGCAAGGTTACAGGTGATTTTTGTTTTCTTTTCCATAGTTCCCCAATTTTTTTTACAAGTAGCATATATTATTTGTGTAGAGACATTTTTATTTTAAAAATTCATTAAAAATACTGTATATACCTCTTGCTGCAATCTAGAGGTTAACACCCTGAGTCACTGCTAAAAGTACCTCGCTAAAGTATAAAATTTGAAAATTTCTCAGTAGGGAGCAATAACTGACCTTAAGATTCAAAATGGTACCCATGAGAGAGGTAATAGCTAAGGAATGAGGCTTCCAATCTCTTAGCATAGAAACAAAACTGTTTTCTTCTATGACCACTTTTCTTCATCTGATGCTCACTTCTTTGTGTCTTCTGTCAACAGACTCTCAGTTTAGTAAAGTAAATCTACGTTTGCATCCCAGCTCCACAGTTTGTTAACAATGGGACCTCGGCCAAGCCATTTATAATCTTTGTGCCTCCGTCTGTTGGTCTGCAAACTAATAGGCTTATAATGAGGATTAGATGAAATAATGCACGTAAGCGCATGACAGCACAAGCAATAAAGGCCGGTTATTATCATTATCCCATTGGCTGGTCCAAACCATCTTTTCTAACTGTTTTGCAGAGAATATTTTTCTGATTTATCTGGGCTCTGTAATCTCAAGCATGTACTCAGAACTGTGACCTTACAGAATGGCCCCAGGAACACCAAAAAAGAAAAAAAAAGAGGAAAGCTCAAAACATAGTTCCTACTTACCTGCTGGCAATAGGCTTTTTTCCCCACAGAGCCTCGAAGTCTTCGGTTGAGCAGCAAACTTCACTCATTAAGGAAGTGCCTGAGAGCCTGGCTGTGGCTCCAGTGCCTGCTCACTTCAGTTAAGTCAGTGCTTCTTTAAGCTGTTCCTTTTGGTTTTTCTGACTCAGTATCTTAGGTCATTCTGAGACAGCCTTCTGCCCCCCATCTTCCCCACTTCTACCTATTGTCCTGGACATTTGTCATCCTTTTTGACTGCCCAGCATCTAAAGCCCTGTCCTGTATTCGAGGGATACCCCGCCAGACACACACACAGGTCTTGGTCTGGCTGGACCCTTCTTGCAGTGTGATTCAGTCCTACCACACCTTCCCAGTGATTCTGTGGGCAACCCCAGCTTCTCCAAATTCTCTTTCTGTTTACTAGCAGTCAAAGTCATTTTTGGTTGCTTACAATTAAGGAACTTAGCCAGCTCCTGATTCTCCTATGTTGACATAAATTCTTCAGCTGTTAGTTCCCCAAACTCTCTGAGCTTCCCATCGTCATATTCTCTATTACATTCTCCTGGTTATGACATTTTATTGGAATCACCTGCTTATTCTCCCCTAGACTTAGCTCTCTGAAGACAAGAACTAAAGCCATGTAGATCACTGCAGTAGCTCTCTCATGGAACAGAGTGCCTGGCACATAGTAGGTCTTCCACAAATGCCAAATGAATAAACAAGCAACCACCCAGGAGGGGACCAGAGCAACCACAGTAGTTCCACTTGGAGAACCAGTTAACTTGCCAACTTTCTGATAACCTGGCACCATTCCTAGCCTGATTCCGGGAGAAACCAGATTTCCTTTAGGCTTTGGCAAGGAAGAGGATATTCCAGCAGCATCCTGAGTGGGAGGGTGAGATGTTGGCTGCATCCTATAGTGGGTGAGTAATCCCCCAGGCAGCGCTTAGCTTTCAACCCTGGCTTATAATGCGGTCATCTCCTGAAGCTCCCAGCTTAAAATGGAAAGTGGCGTTACTCATGGCGAAGAGCAGACAATAAAAAAACATTGAGGTGGGGCCTGACACAATGGAGTGAGTATTCCCTGATGACGGATGAGAGCATCTCTGCTCCGAGGGCTCACGGACCCGACAGACAGCTCAGTCGTGGCAGGGCTTTTGAAGTACACCTCCAAATTAGCTCATCACCCAGCTCCTCACTCTTGGGGATGTTGGAAGACATTGCGTTTCCTAGCCTACACCAGGCATGGCGAGAGGAAATGCCCCTGAATCAATATCAGAAGGTGATAGAGAGCAGCAGTTATGAATTGAGGCTTTGACGTCCAACAGAGCTGGGCCTGAGTCCTAGCTCTTCTAGTTGCTAGCTCTGTGACCTCAAGTGAATTTCTTAACCTCTCTGATTTTTACATCCCTCATCTGTAAAATGGGTTAAATGGTAGTACCTACTACAAGGTCATGAGAAAAGTAAGTCAGACAGTCTGTATAAAACCCTTATCACAGTGCCTGGCTTGTAACCAACAGTCAGTAGGTGATGGCTGCTGGCATTGAGAATGTTTTTCTTTTACCGTCTTCCTCCAGCAGCTCCGTTACTGCCCCATCCTTTATGTTTTGTTTTGTTTTTGCGGTACACGGGCCTCTCACTCTTGTGGCCTCTCCCATTGCGGAGCACAGGCTCCGGACGCACAGGCTCAGCGGCCATGGCTCATGGGCCCAGCCGCTCCATGGCATGTGGGATCCTCCCAGACCAGGGCACGAACCTGTGTCCCCTGCATCGGCAGGCGGACTCTCAACCACTGCGCCACTAGGGAAGCCCCCCATCCTTTATGTTTTTATTCTCTTTCCATCTCACTCGACCTCCATACCCTTGCTCCTTCAGGAGGCCTCCTTTACCTCTCACACCCTTCTGAGCTGAGGCCACTGCCCAGCCTCCCTCCGTGGTCACTCCTCTCCATTTCTAGCTCGTCTTTCTCTCACTTTTCTCAGTGTCTGTCAGCTTGTGTGCCAAGATCCAATGTCTGACCTGTTATGGTCTCTTCCCCACTTCAGAATCCATGACGTGGCACACGGTGATGCAAAGGGCACTGGAATAAATCAATCTGATTTTAGTGACACCTCATGGGCAGATTGGGCCTGAAGTCATAAAATGGTCAGGGCCCAACACCCGTTTCCAGTGCCCCAGCATGATGAACGTGTATCCACAGAAAGCAGAGTGGACCAAAGTCCAGTCTTATCACAGCTGGGCCTGGAGCAGCAGTGGTGACGATTACAAATGCAGTATTTTTCTTAGGAAAGACCGTACCACCAGCTTTTCTAATAATAGGCTTCTTTAGTGAGTTCATAAATTAGATTCAGATTTTTTTAAGGCGTACACTCTTGGCCTAAGCAGGTTACGTGCATTACTGTTGAGAGATAAACAATGATGTACATGTGCCAAGACTCTTAGCATTGTACTAGGTAGTTCCGTACCAATGATCTGGGGAGTCGGCAAGCATCAGTTCCTTCAGGGTTAAGAAAACCTCCCACCTTTGATCTCCAATGACTAGATTAACCACAGGCTATCATCCCAGGGCGTGTCCTAATCATTTATTTATTCAGCACGTTTAATGAACAGCCTTTTATGTGCTGGGCACATTTCTGGATGTCACTGGCAGATACAGTACAAGACTCGGATGCAAGCCCCGCCCTCCAGGAACTTACGCCCAGCATGGGAGGTAAATACACACAAATGGGGGGGAGAAAGTGACGAATGCTACAAACGAGGTATCACGTTTTAATGAGAGTTCCCGGGAGACACAAATCACACGAATGACAGAGATATTAGGAAGGAGATATATATATATATATATATTCTTTTTCAGATTCTTTTCCATTACAGGTTATTGCAGGATACTGTATATAGTTCCCTGTGCTATACAGTAGGACCTTGCTGTTTGTCTGTTTTCTATATAGTAGTGTGTATCTGTTAATCCCAAACTCCTAATTTATCCTCCCCCACCCCTGCCTTTCCCCCTTTGATAACCATAGGTTTGTTTTCTGTGTCTGTGTCTGGGAAACAGTATACTTTGAATTAAGGATGGCTCATATATAATGAGCTCATGGGGAAGGGGTAAGGCTGGAAAGGTAATTTATAGCCAGATCTTATAATCCACTTCCTGCTCAACATCTCTACTTGGATGTCCAATAATTATCTTAAACTTAAGATGGTCTAGACAGAACTGTTGGTTCTCCCCACCCAATTCCCCAGCTTTTTTTCCTCAGGTATTTAAAAATCTTCCTAAGTGTCCCTAAAAAGGAACAGTTGTTGTTTCTCTGTCCTTCACCTAGCCCCATTCAGTTCATCAGCCAGCTCTATCTCCAAAATATATCCTCAGTCCAGCCTCTTCTGTTGTCTCCACTATGTTCCAATCCACCATCATTTCTTACCTGCTTCCTTGTTTCATTTCTTGCCCTCATATAGCAGCTTGCTTAAGTCAGATCTTATCCCCTTGCTTGCTGAGAACCTCCCAGCATCCGCTTCCCGTTGCTCTATCCATGGGAAGACCATGTCCTCCAGGCTCATGATGAGGCTCCAGCCTCTTCCCAGCCTCACCCTCTCCTCTCCTCCCTTGCTCCTCCCTTGCTCCTCCCTGCTCCATTCACACCACTGGCTCTTCTTGTCTTCCTTGAGCTCACCAAGCATGGACCTGCCGTAGCGTCTTTGCATTTACTGATCCCTCTGTCTGAAACACTGTTCGCTCAGCCTGAAGTGCTCCTCTTTCCTTAGACCTTTGCTTGTCCACCTTCTCATGGCTCGTATCTCAGCTCGGATGTCACCTCTGCAGGTCACCCCTGACCAGCCTAACTAAAGTAGCCCCTTCTCAGTTTTCCTCTACCTCAGAACTCCATTTTTTCCTTTATAGCACTTACCTGAAATGCTCTCCAGTATTTGTTTTTCTCTTTTGTCACCATCACTTCTACTAACTTGTAAGCTCCATAAGACTTCGTCTTATTTACCACTGTCTCTTTAGTCCTTAGCACAGTCCCAAGCAAGTGCTCAGTAGTCATTTACAAATGCAGGTGCCTACACCAGACACCCAGAAATTCTGATTCATTTGTCTGGGTTGGGGCCAGGCAAAAGAGGAGTTAATTGGCTTGAGTTTTTTTTTTTATCGTATGCATAGTTTTAACTGTGTTATACCTAGTACAATTCCCAGGTGGTTCTGATTTTTAGACGGAGTTAAGAACCCCTGACCTAGAGAATGGAAATCTCTTTTGCTACTCAAAATGGGGTCCTTGGATCAGTATCACCCAGGTACTTGTTAGAAATGCAGATTGTCAGGCTTTACCCCAGCCTTAGAGAATCAGAATCTGTTTAACAAGACGCCCCGGCTGACTTGTATGCGTGTTAAATTTGAGAAGCACCTACCTAGCAGAAATACAGAATTCCTGAGGAGTAAGTGCTTTGAATTTGGCAGGTCGAATTTGCTCTGTCTGCAGGACAGGGAGATGGGTGTATCCCTCAGACAGTTGGAAATGTGGTTCTGAGGTCACGGAAAGCGAACCCAAAAGGAAGTAAGCATCCTCACTAAAATGGTTTTTGAGGGTCAGAGTGTGGGGCGTGGCGAGGTCATGAGTGGCAAGAAGAGAAGACGAAAGCACTGGTGGACCGTGGGGGCAGCCCTGGTATGGGTGTGGGAGAAGGGGAGCCGCGATGAGGAAGTGGGGAAAGAAAGAGACGGATGGAGAATGATGGCACACGTCAGGGCAGGAGGCGAGGTCAGGAATGGGGTGACCCGAAGCATCAGATTCTGCAGAAGAGTCAAGAGACATAGAGACCAAGAAGTGGCCATGGAGTTCTTTTCCCACAGATGGATGGATGGAGAAACCAAGTGAGGGGAGGAGAGGCTTGAGTCAATGGTGAGCGGTTGGAAGCAGTGAGTCCACGCCACCCGCCCAGGAAGGACTGTGGTCACGCCAAGAGGAGAATTGTGCCTTGAAGGAGTAGGAATGGAGAGAAGCTTTTCTCAAATGAGAGACCTGGGAATGTTTGTCAAGAAGAAATGTTCAGGGAGAGGGATTGAATAGATTGGAGATTAAAAGAGAATTTAATTGATGAGACTGGGTCCTGGAGGAGGTAGGAGAGAATCACATTAGACTTTGTATGCTTGTTAACACATAGACTGACCTAGACGGGTACAAAATAAACATCCGGCTGCCTTCAGGGAAGGAAACTGGGTGACTAGGGAGGCAGGGTAGCTTTCTTTTTTATTTAAGAAAAACAAACAAAAATAATTAAACACCTGTGTGTGCTCTACCCAGATTTAACAAATGTTAACATTTTCTCAAATTTACTTTAGATTTTTTTTATATGAAGGAAATAATTGCAGGAGAATGTAGTTACTAGTTCAAAAATAAAAGATAATTTTTGATACCCACTGGGAAAAAAAAGAAATAAACCATTAGAGAGAAAGTTGAAGTTCCTCGTTTCCCTTTTTCTGAACATTTTTGTCCTCCCTCCTCTGAGGCAGCCACTATTATAACTTGTGTGTGTGAGAGAGAGAGAGAGAGAGAGAGAGAGTCTAATGCCCGTAAACGGTGCACTTTGTATAGTTCTACGATTTGCATTTATTCACGCAACGTTATATCTGAGATCTATCCATTTTGATACCTTTTATCTGTAATGTTTAACAACAAATATCATATAAGTAAATTCTAGAAGTAAGTTCTGATCTTACAGGTAGCCTTTACCGTATTTGCATATATTCTCCAGGGATGGCCATTTACGTTACTTTTAGTTTTCCACTGTTATCCAGATTCCTGCCATGAACACCCTAGCACATGGAGAGATGTACTTATAACCAGCTACTCTTTTAAGGTTTCTAAATTTTTTTAACCACATGCATTTTTAAGTAGTGTTGCAAATAAGAAACATTGGTTTTCTTAAAAAATTTCTCAGTATGATCCAGAGAGCACCCAAATCAGAATTACATGGCCCTTTTGTTATAAAATGCAAATTCCTGGGTCCACATCAGACCTACTGGGTCCACATTATAATGAGCCTCCCCAAGTGATTCTTAGGCATCCTCTAGTTTGGGAAGCACCCAGTAGACAGCTCATTCCTCTGAGAGGAGATGGGGGTGGGGGAGGGCAGGGGCAGATAGATGGTGGAGGAAGGGTGCTCTTGGGGAGGGATGGAGAGTAACATTGATCAGCAGCTCCCCTGTGCCAGGCTATGTGCTAGGGCTTGACATTTAAAGTAGGAGGGAGAGGGGATCCATGGGGATTTATCAAGATGAAATGTCCAAAAGGTTCAAGAGGCCAGGAAATGTGAGTATTGCAGTTAAATACAGTCTGTGGAGTCCACTACTTAGTTAGTGGCTGTGTGCCCTTGGGAAGTCACCTAAACCTCTCTGAGCTTCAGTTGCTCCATCTGCAAAATGACAGTAGTAGTACTACATACCTAAAAGGAGAAGATCAAATGACGTAAGGCACATAACCTGCTCGGAACTTGACACTACTTACGTGGCTAATAAATGATGACGGTGGTGGCAAGAAGGATGCTTATGGCTGTGATTGTTCAATCCCCTTTATAGTCAATACATATATTTTATAGTTTGGCTCGTAACCTCATTATTTGAAACTCTAACGGTGG